CACAGGATTTTGAATGGTTATACAAGGATGATGCCTACAGCTGCAGACATCATCCTGGTGTTTTTTTTTTTCCAGAGCCGGGGATCGGCTTTCATGTAAAAGCAATCCTAGGTGGCTAATTAGCTGCAAGATTGCTTTAGAACAAAGCAAGCCGGGAGATGAATGCCCCCTCTCCTCCGCTGCCCTTCCAATCCACGGCCTTCTTGGCAGACCCGTGCCATCGGGGGAACCTGAGAATTCAGCCCGGTTTGTTCTGGCCAGCTGACCATAGAGCTGGATTGGAGACCATAAATGGTGCAAACCATCTCCTATAAGTCCAAAGAATTCAGAACTCCGAGCATTTCCCACTGATAACATGCACACATCACCCACATAACTTAAAAAGCCCTCCCTGGACCCCCAAATGACCCGAAACAACCGTCAAGAACCCATTCACCCTGCTCTCCACTTACATACTAAACGTCTCATCGAGCGTCTCGTCTACAGACCCGCCTATGCTCTCACCTCAGCGACCAACAACCTCCTCTATCCCCCTACAGTCTTCTGGCTTCCGCGCCCCTATACACTCCCACCGAAACCCGCCTTACTCAAACTCTCCAACGACCCTTCTTAACCGCCTAAAGCTAATTGGCCACTATTCAGTGCTCCTACTCCTTGACCTCCTCTGGCGGTCCTTCGACACAGTTGACCACCCCCTCCTCTCAAAAATACTACACTCCCTCGGGCCGTCCAGAGATTTCTGCTCTCTCCTGGCTCTCATCCTACCCTGTCACAACGCTCTTTCAGCGCTTACCTATACTGCTACCAACTCCCCCCTCACTCCCCTCTCTGTTGGGTCCCCTCAAGGCTCTGTCCTTGGGCCCCTTCTCTGTCTCCATCTACACCATCCTCCCTTGGCCAACTCATACACTCTCACCGGCTCTTCAACGACCACCTCTATGCCCGACGACACACAAATCTATCTCTCAACCCCCCACCTCACCCCCCTCGGATCCTCTGCCCATAATCACACACACTACTGAGTCGACATATCAAGATTGGATGATGTCGCTAGACCACTTCCATTAAAACTGAATCTCGCCAAAACCGAGCTCCTTGTCTTCCCCCCAGCCCGAACCCCACCCCCCACTTGACATCTACATCACATCCAACAACGCCAATATCAAACCCGCTTTCTGGCATTGCCATAGTACTTGTGGGCTGGAAGGATAGGTAGGAGTCCAGAAGACCACCAAGTCCAATCTTTAACAAACTCGTAGCAGACTCCACCCTCCGCAACATCGCCAAAATCCGCACGGTTCCTACCCCATTACAGGTACCCGTCTCCTAACCCCCAGAAACACACACACTCATCCACTCCCCTCATCATATCACGATCTCCAACTACTGTCAACTCCCTTCCTCACTGGCCTGCGCCTCGCCGCTGGCTATCCCCGCTTTCAGTCGATCCTGAATACGGCAGCCAGACTCATTCACCCTATTCCCAAACCGCACCATATTCCGCCACCGCTCCCCTCTGGCCAATCCCTCCACTGGCTTCCGATTGCGCATACGGATCAAATTTAAAATCCTAACACTGACGTACAAAGCTGTCCACACCATACCTGCCCCGAACTACATCACTGACCTAATATCCAATACCAGCCCAGCACGCACACTTCCGCTCCTCACACCCCAAGACCACCTTCTCTCTAGTTACCTGGTCTCCCTCCCTCGCAATGCGCCCGCCTCCAGGACTTCCTCCAGGGTGTCACCCATACCTCTGGAACTCCCTGCCCCAACCAATCAGATTATCACCTACTCTTCCTCTTCCTTTAGGGAGCAGCCCTGGAAAACCCATCTCTTCAGGGAAGCCTAACCTCAAGCCCCCTGCCTAACTTGCTGACCTCCTCCACTCTTCCCTACCACTGGCCATCCCCCACAGCTATCTCATCCTGGTACCACTATCACCATCCCTTCTAGATTGGTAAGCATCGAAAGAGCAGGGCCTCTCGATCCCCTCATGTTTTGCATTGTATTGGTAATTGTTCTGTCCACATGATCTGTCCCCCTTCGTAATGTACAGCGCTGAGTGAACTATTGGCGCATTAATAAATACTGTATAATAATAATAATAATTGTTCATCACATCAGTTTTTTCTGCAGGATATAAACAGCGCCATTTTGTAAATTGGGGAAAGCATCTGATTCACACCGATTTTTTGGTTTGTATTAAGATAATGTATAGGGCAGAGGAGGATATCTAGAGTCTGATATAGACCCGCATATGTACCTCAAAAAAGAATATATGACAATGCCCATTGAAGTTATAGGGGTTATTTGCATTCCCCTGATAAAACATTAAAAAGTAGATTAAAAAAAAAAATAATTAAAGGTACAATGTTAAAAATAATGAAAAAAAATCCAAAATAACTAAAAAAAACAAATATGTCCCTGCCCATGCGCGCACAACCTGTGTGCACAATGCCTTGACCCAGAGTCTGTTTATGTAAACTCAGCGGTGCACCATGCATGGTTGAGGTATAGCCGTGAAACGTCAGATCAAGGGCAGTAATTTTAGACACTAGACCTCCACTGTAAATCTAAAATGGTTAGCTTTTAAAGGCTTTTAAAGCTTCTGCCCTATGGATAATTAAAAATGTTATGCATGTTTGTAGCCATTGCACGGGGCATGCGCAGTTTTAAAAAGCATATCATGTTTTGGTATCTATTTTACTTGGGCATACCATACCATCATCTTTTATATAATTTACCAAATAATTGGCCAATATATTGTGTTTTTATGCATTAAATGTAAAAAAAGTGTATTTTTTTAAACAAAATTGCTTTTGAAAAATTGCTGCTCGAAGTACTATGTGCCATATAAAAATTGTAGTACCCACCATTTTATTCACTAGGTGTCTGCTTTAAAAAAATATATAATGTTTGGGGGGTTTTAAATTATATTCTTCTAGCAAAAATACACATTTTTTTTATGTGAAACAAAAGTGTCAGAAAAGGCTTGGTCTTCAGGTGGTTAGAAGAGTGTGTGATGTATGGCATAAACTTCTAATGCTGGGCATGAAAAACGCCCCCCACACCCCCCAAAACAACCTTTTTGGAAAGCAGACACCCAAAACTATTTGCTGAGAGGCATGTTGAATCAATAGAAGAATTTATTTTTTTACCACAAGTTTTTGGAAAATGACAAAAAAAAAAAAAAATGTACACAAAATTGTCATTGAAATAATTTATTGCTCACACAAGCTCATATGATATATGTGGAATTACTCCCCAAAATACATTCTGCTTACTTCTCCCGAGTATGGGGGTTACCACATATGAGAGTCTTTTTGGCAGGTCTATTCCAAGTACAGGACCCCAAAATCCAATAAGCACCTTCAGGCTTTTAAAGGGCTTTATTTCCTCATTACACTTCCTGACTACCTATCACAGTTTTCGGAGGGCCCTGGAATGCCAGAATAGCACCACCAAACCCCCCCCCCCCAAATGAACCCTTTTTGGGAAAGTAGAGGCACCCAAAGGAATTTGATAAGAAGCATGGTAAGTATTTTGAAGATCTCATTTGTTGCCACAAGTTTTGGAAAATGAAGAAAGAAAAATAAAAACATATTTTCATCTTTTCTTTTTTTATATTTCACAAAACCTTGTGAGAAAAAATGAGATCTGCAAAATACTTACCATGACCTCTTTTTAAATTCCTTGGAGTGTCTACTTTCCAAAAAGGGGTCATTTGGGGGGGGGGTTTGTGCTATCTCCTAGCATTTCAGGGCCTCCGAAACTGTGATAGGTAGTGGGGAAGTATGAAATGAAGAAGTTACGCACCTTCATGGCTTTCAAAGTGGTCATTGGATTTCAGGCTCCTGTATGTGGGGGCTAGGCTCTCCCAAAAAGTGGTCACACGTGTGGTATCCTCATACTGGGTAGAAGTAGCAGAATGTATTTTGGGGTGTAATTCCACATATACCCATGGCTTGTGCAAGAAATAAATCATTTAAATGACAATTTTGTGTAAAAAAAAAAAACAAAACAAAAACGTTTTTGTCATTTTCCAGAAACTTGTGGAAAAAAAAATAAATCATTCCATGGACACAATATGTCTCTCAGCAGATAGCTTAGGGTGTCTGCTTTGCCGAAAAGGGGGTCATTTGGGGGTGTCTGTTCTATCCTGGTATTTTACCACCTCAAGAGATGTGATGGGCCGGTCAGAAAGTAAAAGCTGTTGTAAATTTCAAATTATCTTACCATAGTTTGTAGACGCTATAACTTTCACACAAAGCAATCAATATACACTTATTGGGATTTTTTTTTTTACCAAAAACATGTACGCAGAGTACATTTTGGCTTAAATTTATGACTTTCAGTTTACGATATATTTTTTATTAGCTGAAAGTAGAAAATATTGTTTTTTTTCAAAATTTTTCGTGTTTTTTGTTTATAGCGCAAAAAATAAAAAGCGCAACAGGTGATCAAATAACCACCAAAAGAAGCTCTATTATGTGTGAAAAAAAGGACGTAAATTTCGTTTGGGTACAGCATTGCATGACCGCACATATTATTATTTGAATTAGTGCAGCGCTGTATAGCAAAAAAAGGCATACATTACAGTATCTATACCATAATTTGTAGACGCTTTATAACGTTCACACTAGAGATGAGCGAAGTATTCAAAAATTCGATTCGACTGATTCGGCGAATTCGTGGACAATATTCGATTCGAGTCGAATAAATTCGCTGTGAATTTAACTTAAAAAAGGGTGTTTTCTAGGCTTCAGAGAGACTTAATATTAGTGCAGAACACTGTACCTTTAATTTAAATGCCCTTGGAGTCTGCTGGGGAAGAGAAATAATACTGTCAGTCAGTATGACATGCAGATGAGTGCCGTCGATCTTAGAATCACCGCACACTTCACTCATTTGGCCAGTCACGGGGCCAAAACCAGTGTTTGGAGCCACAGTGTGTCGGTGGAGGCAGCAGCAATGGGAGGCCATACAGCAACCTATGACAAAATGGAAACCAGCAGAGTGTGAGGAGACCTGAAAGTGGCACATGGCAGAGTGGGAGCAATGGGAGGCGGTACAGGGACCCCCAGGTCACAACTGTGGGCTCAGCAGCAGCGTGACCAGGCGGTACGGGGGCCCATGGCCGATTTGGGGCCTGGTGGCAGCTATGGGAGGCCCGTAATCTGCCAGCACCCTATGTCAAAAATTGAACACAACAGCAGTGTGTGAGGAGACCTGAAAGTGGCACATGGCAGAGTGTGGTGATGGAGACAGCAGCTATGGGAGGCACGTAATCTGCCAGCACCCTATGTCAAAAAATTGAACACAACAGCAGTGTGTGAGGACACCTGAAAGTGGCACATGGCAGAGTGTGGTGATGGAGACAGCAGCAATGGGAGGCCGTACAGGGACCCATGAGAGACTCTGGACTTGGCAGCAGCATGAGGAGGCGGTATATAGGGGCCCATGGCAGATTAGGGGCCTGGCAGCAGCTATGGGAGGCCCGTAATCTGCCAGCACCCTATGTCAAAAAATTCAACACACCAGCAGTGTGAGGAGACCTGAAAGTGGCACATGGCATGAGAGACTGTGGACCTGGCAGCAGCATGAGGAGGCGTACAGGGGCCCATGGCAGATTAGGGGCCTGGGCAGCAGCTATGGGAGGCCCGTAATCTGCCAGCACCCTATGTCAAAAAATTCAACACACCAGCAGTGTGAGGAGACCTGAAAGTGGCACATGGCATGAGAGACTGTGGACCTGGCAGCAGCATGAGGAGGCGGTACAGGGGCCCATGGCAGATTAGGGGCCTGGCAGCAGCTATGGGAGGCCCGTAATCTGCCAGCACCCTAGTCAAAAAATTCAACACACCAGCAGTGTGAGGAGACCTGAAAGTGGCACATGGCATGAGAGACTGTGGACCTGGCAGCAGCATGAGGAGGCGGTACAAGGGCCCATGGCAGATTAGGGGCCTGGCAGCAGCTATGGGAGGCCCGTAATCTGCCAGCACCCTATGTCAAAAAATTGAACACAACAGCAGTGTGTGAGGAGACCTGAAAGTGGCACATGGCAGAGTGTGGCGATGGAGACAGCAGCAATGGGAGGCCCGTAATCTGCCAGCACCCTATGACAAAAAATGGAACACACCAGCAGTGTGTGAGGAGACCTGAAAGTGGCACATGTTTGTGGCATGATTCATGGCGGATTTAGTCAGTTGTGTCAGGAAACTGGTGGTTTGAAATCCAGACTAATCCACGCCTGATTCATTTTCACAAACTTGAGTCTCTCCACACTTTGGGTGGACAGTCGTGTCCTCCGCGGAGTTACAATACCTCCTGCCGCACTAAACACGCGCTCTGATGCCACGCTACTGCCGGGCATGACAGCCTTTCAAGGGCAAATTCAGCTAGTTGGGGCCAAAGGTCAAGTTTCGTTGCCCAGTAGTCAAGGGGATTGTCTACCTCGGTTGGCAGGGTGCTGTCCAAGTAGGCCCAAGCCTGTTGTTTGCGGCGCAAAGTAGGCACAAGCCATCATTTCTCGGAAAGGTGCTGAGTCCACCACTTGGAAAGGGAGGGACTGCAGCACCAGCAACTTGGACAGGAGGACGTTCAGCTTTTGCACGTCGGGTGCGTGCTCGCAAACTGTTGTCTCTTGGAAACGGATTCCAAGAAAGACTGTTGACGGAATCCGAGAAGAGGAGAGTAGCAGGAGAAGGAGCATCTGAACGAGCGGGAGATGCCAACGAGCGACAACTCCCCTCAGCAGAGGTGTTGGAGCCTTGACTGGCTGATAGAGGGCGATTGACGATGTCGGGTGACGGAGCAAGTAACGGAGCGGGTGATGGAGCGGGGGCTGGGGCAGGCAGAACCGCCGTATCTTTATCACGGTTTTCCCAGGCCACCGAAGGTGACGCTGCATACGCTGACGCAGCGCTGCAGTCCCAACATGGGCCCCCTGGCCACGCTTGCATTTCTGGCCACATAGTCGACATACGGCTACGTTTACTTCCTCGGGCGGCTTGACGAAAAATTGCCACACCACCGAGTAGGAAACTTTGCCCCCGCTACTCCTCACTGGCTGACTGCTACTTCCTCCGTGCGCACCGGCACCACTACTGGCCGTGGTGGTAGGCTGCAGTGGAGCTGGTGCTCTACTCCGTGGCCGTTTGGCTCCACTGACACTGCTGCGACCCTGCTGCCTCCTGGGCAACCCACCGACTGTTTCGCTCGCTGCCAAGCTGGCACCCTCTTCTCCTGATGATGCGGAAGAAATTACCTGATGACGACGAGGCTGCCAAGTGCGATCAACCTCCTCATCATCAAGTAGGGTCTCCGCCTCACTACTAGCCCCCTCGGCTGCATCTGGTTCAGGAGACAGACCTGTCTCTAGACCGGCTACCGAGCCACTCTCCTCGCCAGTACTTCTTCGCCTGGCTGCTGAAAAGGCGGATGTCTCCCCCCGTTCCTGACCGCCCTCTGTTAGCTCTTCCTCACTGTACAGTGGGGCTGAGCCCACAGCATGCGATACTTCGCTTGGTGAGGGAACACCAAAGGACAGGGGCAGGTAGAGGACACGTGATTTCAGTGGGCTTGCTCCCGGGCCATGCCAACTAACGGTTGTGTCTGACGTACCCACCGACCGTTGGCTGTAGGTGTCAGAGGTGACCTGGGAAGAGGAAGACGACCGAGCCAACCAATCGATGACGGCAGGGTTGTCGGTGGAGACACGACCGCTGGATGACACCGGGAGCACTGGACTCTGGCTGCGAATACTGCTGCCTCGACCCCTTCCTCTGCTGCCACGTCTGCTCGCTCCTAAAACATTGCCTCCTCTGCCACTCCTCTGCATGTTGTCTGACATACTCTTTAATTCAACGATTCTGTGTCCGAGTAACAATTCTGTGTCCCTGAGTAACAATTCTGTGTCTGTCCCTGAGTAACAATTCTGTGGCCCTAAGTAACGGTTCTGTGGCCCTCAGTAACAATTCTGTGTCCCTGATTAACGTTTCTGTAGCCCTAGGTAACGGTTTCTGTGGCCCTCAGTAACAATTCTGTGTCCCTCAGTAACAATTCTGTGTCTGTCCCTGAGTAACAATTCTGTGGCCCTAAGTAACGGTTCTGTGGCCCTCAGTAACAATTCTGTGTCCCTGAGTAACGTTTATGTGGCCCTAAGTAACGGTTCTGTGGCCCTCAGTAACAATTCTGTGTCCCTCAGTAACAATTCTGTGTCTGTCCCTGAGTAACAATTCTGTGGCCCTAAGTAACGGTTCTGTGGCCCTCAGTAACAATTCTGTGTCCCTGAGTAACGTTTATGTGGCCCTAAGTAACGGTTCTGTGGCCCTCAGTAACAATTCTGTGTCCCTGAGTAACAATTCTGTGTCTGTCCGAGTAACAATTCTGTGGCCCTAAGTACAGTTCTGTGGCCCTCAGTAACAATTCTGTGTCCCTGAGTAACAATTCTGTGGCCCTAAGTAACGGTTCTGTGGCCCTCAGTAACAATTCTGTGTCCCTGAGTAACGTTTATGTGGCCCTAAGTAACGGTTCTGTGGCCCTCAGTAACAGTTCTGTGTCCCTGAGTAACAATTCTGTGTCTGTCCGAGTAACAATTCTGTGGCCCTAAGTAACAGTTCTGTGGCCCTCAGTAACAATTCTGTGTCCCTGAGTAACAATTCTGTGGCCCTAAGTAACGGTTCTGTGGCCCTCAGTAACAATTCTGTGTCCCTGATTAACGTTTATGTGGCCCTAAGTAACGGTTCTGTGGCCCTCAGTAACAATTCTGTGTCCCTGAGTAACGTTTCTGTGGCCCTCAGTAACGGTTCTGTGGCCCTCAGTAACAATTCTGTCTGTCCCTGAGTAACAATTCTGTGGCCCTAAGTAACGGTTCTGTGGACCTAAGTAACAGTTCTGTGGCCCTCAGTAACAGTTCTGTGTCTGTCCCTGAGTAACAATTCTGTGGCCCTAACTAACGTTTCTGTGGCCCTAAGTAACAATTCTCTGGCACTCAGTAACAATTCTGTCTGTCCCTGAGTAACAATTCTGTGGCCCTAATAACGTTTCTGTGGCCCTAAGTAACAATTCTGTGTCTGTCCCTGAGTAACAATTCTGTGGCCCTAACTAACGTTTCTGTGGCCCTAAGTAACAATTCTCTGGCACTCAGTAACAATTCTGTCTGTCCCTGAGTAACAATTCTGTGGCCCTAATAACGTTTCTGTGGCCCTAAGTAACAGTTCTGTGGCCCTCAGTAACAATTCTGTGTCTGTCCCAGAGTAACAATTCTGTGGCCCTAACTAACGTTTCTGTGGCCCTAAGTAACAATTCTCTGGCACTCAGTAACAATTCTGTCTGTCCCTGAGTAACAATTCTGTGGCCTAATAACGTTTCTGTGGCCCTAAGTAACAATTCTGTGTCTGTCCCTGAGTAACAATTCTGTGGCCCTAACTAACGTTTCTGTGGCCCTAAGTAACAATTCTCTGGCACTCAGTAACAATTCTGTCTGTCCCTGAGTAACAATTCTGTGGCCCTAATAACGTTTCTGTGGCCCTAAGTAACAATTCTGTGTCTGTCCCTGAGTAACAATTCTGTGGCCCTAACTAACGTTTCTGTGGCCCTAAGTAACAATTCTCTGGCACTCAGTAACAATTCTGTCTGTCCCTGAGTAACAATTCTGTGGCCCTAATAACGTTTCTGTGGCCCTAACTAACAGTTCTGTGTCTGTCCCTGAGTAACAATTCTGTGGCCCTAACTAACGTTTCTGTGACCCTAAGTAACAATTCTCTGGCACTCAATAACAATTCTGTCTGTCCCTGAGTAACAATTCTGTGGCCCTAACTTGCGTTTCTTTGGCCCTAAGTAATGATTCTGTGGCCCTCATTAACAATTCTGTGTCCCTGAGTAATGCTTCTCTGTCCCTAAGTAACGTTTCTCTGTCCCCAAGTAACGTTTCTGTGGCCCTAACTCTGTCCCTAATACAGAGCGGTCTGCCTCTCTTGAATGACTGGAGGCAAATGAAGAATTCTAAAATGGCCGCTATTTATAGCTCGACCATTACACAGTGCTGTCTGGCTGGCTGCTGATTGGCTAATGCGATCACATGTCATTAAGGAATGCATTATGGGTCAGCGCGCCTTGTCTGCGCGCCTTCCCAGACATCCCCACTCCGTCGCCGCACATGTCCGCCGCCATTTTAGGAAAAATTTCGATTCGCGCGTCCGAAGTAGGGTATTTTTCGGATTCGGAAAATTTTCCAATATTCGACTCGAATTCCACTTCGCCTACTTCGATTCGCTCATCTCTAGTTCACACAAAGCAATCAATATACACTTATTGGGATTTTTTTACCAAAAACATGGAGCAGATACATTTTGGCTTAAATTTATGACTAACTTTGAGTTTACGATATATTTTTTATAGCTGAAAGTAAAAATATTGGTTTTTTTCAACATTTTCGTGGTTTTTTTGTTTATAGCGCAAAAAAAAAAAAGCGCACAGGTGATCAAATACCACCAAAAGAAAGCTCTATTTGTGTGAAAAAAAGGACGTAAATTTCGTTTGGGTACAGCATTGCATGACCGCGCAATTA